GAGGCTCTGGAACACATTGCCAAGGTAGGTGCTCCCCGAGGCATGTTACTTCCACAAATTCAAGATAACACCAATTCCTACTTAATTTCCCTTGGTTCTCACGATGTTTTCTGAACATTACAGGATATTCCTTTTTGTGGGAACCAGAACATAAAAAAAGCAATGACAGATTGAATCAAACTGGGATATGGAAGTTTGAGAACATCGAAAGAAATTGTTTGTCTCAATTGACGAAGTAGATATATATGTTTACTAAGCTTTAGTTTGACATTATCAATATGATTATTCCAGGTTAGCTTACCATCAATATTGACCCCCAACAATCTTGTATAATCAACTCGATGGATTGTTTCATTGTTTATTTTGACCAAATAACTTTCATCTATAGTTGTATTCTTTGTAGCATAGTTGAGCATTTGAGATTTGGCAGTATTCTGCAAGAGTTCTTTTAGAGAACAGCACTCAGAAATTTGAGCTTTAACACCCTTGATATAACTCACCTGGATACTCCGTCGCTGTAGCATCCATCAATTCTTTTATTATTTTCCATTTTTTCATGGGTGAGATGAAAAGAGAGGAAGAGCCGCAATGCCGCAAAAGGTAATAGATGAAGGGTTCCTCAAACGAGAAATATTAGAATATTCATGAGTCACCTGTTAGAACGAAGCTCTGAGATCAACTCTATGCAATGCTGTGTTGAATATTTCAATGGCGTAGCGTTACACTGGAGACTATGATTGTGTCAGTTTTCAATTCACTGCGAAACTTACATTTCATCATCCAAATGTGTTTTTTGTTGCTTATTATCTACCAAGATGTTGCTAGGAAGTTGTTGAATATTACAACTGTAATATTAAGGCTTGATCCAAAAATACCGTTATAAACTTCATTAGATAATTTTATGTGGGATGGTATATCAAATATTGAAAAGGTAGAGGTAACAAGGTACAGCCGCTTTCCGTCTGGTGAACTATTCACCATGAATGAGCGACACTAAGTTTGTATCTGGATAAAAACCTGGATAAGATACACGAAATTCAACTCCTTCTCTGAAAAACAAATTGAAACACTGTGTGATCTCATGATAGAGGTTCAATATATCATATTTTTTCAAACGCAGATTAAAAGAGCCATATGCGAATTCAATGTGATCTCCCTCTTACACTACGCTGTTGACTAAACTTGAGCGCTATGGTGTCAGGGGTGTTGCAGTAAATTGGTTTGGGTCATACCTTTCTGATAGGAAACAATTAGTGAGATGTCAGGATAACCTATCTAATATACAGGGTGTTTCATTGGGAAAGGTAAATAATTCAACTGTGGATAGGGGTCACTGAGGTGATTTCAAAAAACCCATGGTTGATGGGTCTTCGACTTCTTATAACCGAGATACAGGATGTTTCATCAATTTTGTCCATATCTTCATTGTCTTATAACTTTCCAACCAACCTGTATATATTATCTAAAATTGGTACACTTGCTCAATCTACCCTGTGGAATTGATTGAGGCAACAACAAAAGATAAAATCCAGGTCCGGCTTCACTTAAAATTCACAAATTCTTTCTGCCAGAAAACAACACCCTATACATTCGAATTTCTCATTTTTTTGCCATATCTGAGAAGAACATCAAAATTTCTATTCAACGATATGCTTTTTATTCGTGCACAGACGATTTTGACTATTCATAATAATAATAATAATAATAAATGTTCTTTATTGGTTAAAACCAAATGGCCAATAGTTATGTGCTCAAAATATTATTTTTGCTCATTTTGGGGTACAAAATTGGAATCAGACGAGATTCATTAATTCTATTACTTCCTATTGAGTGAACGTGAGTATTACATTTAGAAGGATTATTTCATATCGTTCTTTGTTCCAGACTTAGTTGCAGGTCTGTCATCAAAACTATACAGGGCTTTTCACGATAAGCGTTAAATAGATGTTTCTGACACAGCAGGCAACGGATAAATCTGAAAATTCGAAGGTATGTATAAATTAACATGATCTACACGTCTGAAATATTTGAAACAATCCGGCGTTGCCGCTTCTACTCGAAAGTAGCAGTAACTTTGATTTTTCGAATGGGACACCCTGGATGCTTCCTGAAGAGCTAATTTAATCGATTCACAAAGTTCGGGGTCTAGTGGAACTGATAACTGAGATATTCAGAGTGAGAAAAATCGAGATGTTTCAACTTTAGAATTATTTTGCGAAAATATTCATTATTGATCAGAACGGCTTTTATGTCCCTATCTCAACTTTGTATCTATTGACATTTAATCGAAACAAATACAGCATGATTCATAATTCAGATTTCTGGCCACCCTGTATCTGTTTCAATTGAATATCGAATGGAAAGTTGAGATAGGGACATTGAAGCCGTTTTGACCATGCAATAATGAATAGTTTCAACACAAAAAATTTCTAAAGTTGAAACATCTCGATTTTCCACATCCTATTTATCTCAGTTATCAGTCCCGCTAGACCTTGAATGTTTTGAATCGATGAATTCTGCTGTTCAGCAAGAATCCAAGAATGTAATGAAATACAAGGTATCCCATTTGAAAAATCGAAGTTGCTGCTACCTTCTAGTTGAAGCGGCAAGGCCGGATCGTTTCAAATATTTCAGTAGTGTAGATTATGTTAATTTATACATACCATCGAAATTTCAGATATATCCGTTGCTTGCTTTGCCGAAAACGTCAAATTAACGCTCATCGTGAAAAGCCCTGTATAGTTTTGATGACGGACCTGCAAGTCTGGAACAAAGAACGATATGAAATACTCCTTCTAAATGTAATACTCACGTATACCAGAGATTGGGGAGTGTATAATCTCTGCGTATACTTAATAGGAAGTAATAAAATTGAAAAATCTTGTCTGATTCAAATTTTCTACCCCAAAATGAGCAAAAATAATATTTTGAGCACATAATATGGATAGTTAAAATCGTCTGTGCACGAATAAAAAGCACATCGTTGAATAGAAATTTTGATGTTCTTTTCAGATATGACAAAAAAAAAATGAGAAATTCGAATGTATAGGGTTTTGTTTTCTGGCAGAAAGAATTTGTGAATTTTAAGTGGAGCCGGACCTGGATTTTATTTTTTGTTGTCGCCTCAATCAATTCCACAGGGTAGATTGAGCAAGTGTACCAATTTTTAAAAATATATACAGGTTGGTTGGAAAGTTATGAGACAATGAAAATATGGACAAAATTGATGAAACATCCTGTATCTCGGTTATAAGAAGTCGAAGACCCATTAACCATGGGTTTTTTCAAATCACCCCAGTGACCCCTATCCACAGTCGAATTATTTACCTTTCCCAATGAAACACCCTGTATAAAAAATTCATACAGGTGTTCCACAAGGGTCAGTTTTGGGCCCTCTTCTATTATCAATGTATATTATTGATTCGACTGAAATACAGGTGCGAGCAAAGCTTACAGTATCTGCTGATGATACCACCTTTTTATGGAGTGACAGAAGATGAAACAGAACTAACGAATGTGATTCAAAATTACCTTACTGAGATAACATCATGCAAAACAAGCATCCTCAGTTTCAGGTATTCTTCTGGTAATGAAGTTCTTGAAAACAGTAAGGTAAAAAACAAGAACTCTATACAAAATTTCTAGGCTTGATCATTGACAATAGATTGAATCTCAATGAATACATTGCTCAGTTATGTGAAAAATTGTCTTGGAGATGCTATGCTATCAGAGTAGTATCAATGGAAATAGGACATCAAATTTCTCGGACTGTGTATTTTTCTCTATATAAATGCAGTTTTAATATTGCAAAAGCGGACCGTGCAATATATTCTAGACCCCTTTTCTTCAACAAAAAATTCCTTACTGTAGTGTGCTTATTCATATTTGATACAGTCTATTTGATACATATTATGTTGTTTGGACACATGAGGGTAGTGAATACCCAAGTTCGCAACTAACTAACAGTTGTGGAAAAAGCGCAGCACACGAAAAATCGCGAAACTCTTGAACTCTCTTCAGTTTTTGATCTATATCCTGAACTATGCATTTTTCGACGGAAGCCAAAGTACTCGATTTTGAAGAAGATTAGATATATGACAATCTAGGCCCAACTGTAGCTTTGTATGGAACGATGAATTCCTAAATTACGGCAATTTGAAAATAGATTTTTTTTTTTAAGTGAAAATTTCGGTTTTAGGCCTTTTTTAGACCACAATTGCGGCCGAACCATCGATCCTACGAGTAGAACTCATTGTATAAAAGTTTTTGTCAGTTTGAAAGATTCAAATTGCGCTCTGAGCAAGGTCTATGGGCTTCGCAGTCCTTTCAAAATCTTGAAGAAACCTGAATGGGGTGAATTCGCATTTTTCCGGAAATATAACAAAACCCTTTCCTACCTTTTGTCTTTTGTTGTGGTAATGAGAAAAAAAGCATGGAATCATTCAAAAAACGTCAGAATGTATTCCAATATAAACAAACTTATCAAAATTTCAGTAATCAATCAATCAAATATCCAAAATCCTGGGCTTGTTTATGGTGGCCCTGGGCCGTCATTTTAGATGGACCCTTCATTGGTGAATCATCGTCCTCGTCCTCTATATAAGCAATAACTAGAATTTGTATCATCAGGGTCGTCTTGGGGCTTGAAAGCTTGAGAACATTCCAGCTTTGCTTTCAGACTAGTGTAGCCAGCTTGGCATCCCTTCTCACATTCACAATGAAGGAATTTTAGGAACTCTGAGGACGCAAGGGCTTGTCAATTTGGTATGCAAATGAATCCAGCCGAGCTCAATTCCCATAACCTCAGTCGGTGGTCTTTTTCTTTACCCCGAATCACTCTAGCATCTGATGATACAACGCAGCTCCTTTAGAATTAGGGGCAAATGGGCTGGATTAGCTTTGACGTTGGCTGCTGTCTAGGCAAAAGTACGGAAGATATAATTTGAGGTCACATCAAACAGAATCAGGCCCTAGTGGACCAAACAAGATGTTTCCTCTAGTCAGAAAACACACATGAACAAGCCGCAGCAGCCGACGACAAGTGCCTATTTGTCCTATATGGAGGAGACGAGACGACAGAATCCCTCAACAATGTACGCTTCCATACTTATCTTGTCAAGCCAGCAGCCAACGCCAAAGTGAATCTGACACGTTAACTCCCAACCACACAAGGGCTGCGTGTTATTATCATTATCGCACATACCAATATAGGTGTGGTGGAGAAAGATGCCATTGACTGGGATTGAGAATTGAGTTCCTGAAGCTCCTTTCCCGTAAATGCAAGAGGGTATGCAGAGGTGGCTGTGGCTACACTTGTCTGAAAGCAGCGTTCAAATGTTCTGTGGTATTTGCTACCTCCTCTGGAGAAACGTGCCAGAACGCTGCTCTTCTCTTCATCGAAGAGGACAACGATGACCAGCCTCGATACAACCCTGATGATCTACCAATAGTGGGGGACTACATGTTGAATAATGAATTGTATGTACGTGACGGACCAGGGTCATCAGAAACATGAAGAGAATCTTTTTTCATCGCTTGGAGCGCATGAAAGAATATCGTTCCTGGGAAGGATATGAACAGGAGGTAGGTATTGGATTTTTTTTGGAACTTTTGGAGATTATATGTTGTTGGGAATACTTCCTCAGGCACTGAATTCCAGAGCCTAGCCGTTCTATGGATGGAGAAGTTTTGATAAAGATCTGTTCGACATCTTTCGAGGTCGACAACGAAAGGATGTGCTGACTGGGCTTGTCTAGTTCGTCTGACTGCTATTGCTATGCGTGTCCATATTTTATTGATTGGCTTAATAATTCCATTCAAGTTGATGGAAACTAACCAGAGTATCGCGAATATCTTCCTTATATATGAAATGTCCCATAAGAGCAATGCAATTATCAAAAACTCACAGGGGTAATTGCACTGCAGAGCGAAGATTGCACTGCCAGAACGGATAAATGTCAGATGGAATTCAAAAAGTGAAAGATATGTCGCGTTTTTGTGAGTGCTGCAAACAATATAGGGATCGGGAATTTTTTTATTCGTGAAATATTCCTATGAATGACATTCGTGCATAGAAATGATCAGTTGATTTTGTGTTCAAGCGAGTTATCTCATACAAAATTGCATTCGTTCATTTCCATATTTTGTGAAAGAGCCCGATTCCTTCGCCAAAATATGACATTTTTTAGATTGCAGATGATTTATGTGAAAGTGTGGAACTGGGTGAAGGATCATATCTGTGAAGAACAACATGGCTTTGTACCAAAGAAATCAACATCCACCAACTTGCTAGTCTTTTGTCACGATATGCATAAATACATGGATCGAGACACACAAGTAGACGTGGTAGGGTAAAATACGGATAGATGCCGCACTTTTTGTAAAAAAATATAAAAATTCGAGTAACAGAAAATATGTATTTCAAAAAACATACGATCATTCTATGATCCAATCTTTATTGAAATATTGGTCCTGAAACAACATAAAAAAACTCTACTACTAAAAAAAAAAAACAACAAAAAGTGTTTTCTGGCAACTCTCCCCCCCAGGTACAGAGAGATGCCTACAGCCATGCGGAGAGATGCCCAATGTTAATTCCAATTGGGGAAAGATGCCGCAATTTATTGTTGTAGTTCTGCACGTTTGCATGGTACATGTCACATGCAACCAGTTGATGCATCTTATACAGCAAACCCAATCTATTTTCTTGGAGGTTTGACTGTGATCCTCAAAACATTCCACGCAAAAAAAATTTTTTTCAGTATCTTGCTTGGCTGATTCAGGATTCTGGGTTTCCTTCAAATCGGATAAGGGAATCTCATCTTCGCTGTCGGAGGTGAAGTTATTCGATGTTCTATGATCTGTGAAATATAAAATTATGTTATTTTATCATTAAAAATTTTGTGGCATCTCTCCGTATCGAAAAGTGCGGCATCTCTCCTATTTGATACGGATAGATGCCTCACAGACCTACGCCTGCGCCTTATGACTCTGTAGCCGAGAATAAAAAACAAAATCTTAAATATGCCCTATATAACGCTATAAAAGTCGAATGATCTCATTTTGTTATTTTAAACTCACTTCCCCAATACTATTAACAATATACAAATGAATAGTAAGCAATAAAAGTACATCTCACCAACTTTATTCCCACAATTCCCGTTAAACACTTGCTCAATCGAAGCACATACCACATAAAAAACAATAATGGCTGAATAGCTCTTCCATCCCGCCAAGAACTGTTGTCAGGTGCACATAGTTTCCGCGTCACGTGGTCTGCGGCATCTACCCCCCTGCGGCATCTATCCGTACTTTACCATATATATACTGACTTCCGAAGAGCATTTGACAAAGTCAACCATGATATTCTATTGAAATAGCTATTTTAAAATGGAGCTGATCGGCATGCTCTCGGATTGGTTGCTTCCTATCGAGCTTCCTATCTGAGCAATCGAACATACAAGGTAAGATATAAAGGAAATCTATCTGAAACATTCAATGCCCACTCTGGGGTGCCACAAAGTTCAAATGTTGGACCTTCACTGTTCCTTATTTTTATCAATAGCTCGCCTGCCCACTCGAAATACTCCGACTGTGTGCTATCTGCAGGCGATCGAATTGAGAGTTTGCAAGATTGTCAAAAGCTACATAACGATATGAATAGTATTTATCAATGGAGTGTGGACCATGATCTTCCTCACAACATAGCTGAATGTGTGGTGCTGCCTTGTACTAGGGAAAGGAAAACGTTTTTTTTATCGCTTGGAGCGCACGGAAGGGAATCCCTATAATGTTCAAAGAACATCGTGCGTTCCTAGGGAGGATAGGAAAAGGAGGTAGGTATTGGAATTTTTCATGAACTTCTGGAGATTATATGTTGTTCGGAATACGATGAATGATGATGTATTGAAAATAGTCGGAACAGTCAAACATCTGGGTGTTCACTATGATTCCACAATTTCATTCAGAACACATATAGCCTCACCAGGGCTTCGAGCTCTATGATTCGTCCTAAGGCATAGCAAATTATTCAAAGATACCGGCACAATAACTGTGTTGTACAATACACTCGTCAGACCAAAGATGGAATACTGCTGGGTTATATATGGCACCCCCATCATTTTCTGTACAAGCATACTCTAGAAAAATTACAAGACAAATTCCTGGAGTTCTTCTACCTGAAAAAATATGAAGTTTTTCCTGATTTTAATGTGATTCGAAGTGAAATGCTCCGAAAAGAATTCACAATAGGCAGTCTCGTTACCCGAAGAATCAGCAGTATAGTGTTATAATGTGTTATAATGGTACAACAAATTATACCACAGTCTGTATTTGCATTCTATGTTGAAAAGAAGAGTACCCATCAGACTCACGAAGCTTGACCAGTATTTCGAAATCCCTCTGGTAAAATCGAACAACTGCTCCCCTGTAATCTCCATGTTGAAGATAACGAATAATGTTCTCCTTCTGTCAGAAATCAATATTACCCTTCCCCCCCCAACAATTCTTCAAGTTACTCAAACAATATTTTGAGAAATATTGACAAATAATCCGTGTGGTGAGAATATTCTACCTGCATCAACATCAGGTCTATTCAATTCTCAAAGATGTTCGAATTGTAGTTTCAATATAAATACAACCACAGAGTGACATATTCGTGTATATGGACCAGGTGCTCTAATGGCAAATACCGCGCCAGTATAGGAACGATAAGACGTGGAAAATATTAGGTTAGTGAGCATATCAACAATAATAATAGCGATTATTCATTTCTCTCCATACTTCACTGTGTTTGACTTTTGATCAAATAATGGTGAACAATATCGTTGTTTGAGACAAAAAACTATTGCTTGCCGTGATTATTCAAAAACAAGTTATCCATTCCTAGAATAACGAATGAAATAGAGATCGAACAAGTATTTGAATCATGAAGGTTTTCCTGATCAAATGAAAAATACTCAACTAAGATTACTTTAGCTCATAGGAACTAAAGTCCAACTTTAGTTCCTTGGATCTAAAGTTCAACATTAGCTCCTTATAGGAACTAAATATGTTGCCTAGCAACATACCTATTTTTGTGTCAGTAATAGAAACGTCAATTCAAGAGCTAATTTTCGTATCAAAATGGACGACTTTTGTGTCGGTTGCAGAAAAAACTTGTTATGTCACCCAAACAACAGTTCATCGATTATGCACCAAGTATAATGAAATTATGAATTCAGAATGAGAAATTATTGGAATCATCAGCTGATATCCTTAGGTACATTAGGACTGATCCAATATTAGGTTTTGTATATAGTATAGTATTCTCATGTTATGATGTGTGAACCTGTTTGATAAATGAATCTACTTTAGATTCCCAAGGAAAAGTGCCGCCAGCCATTCCACCCGTTGAGAGTCGAATGCCCGAAATCGTCTTCCGTCAACGCACTATCAGACGAATTTTGCTTGATCTCAAAACGAATAAGGCTAACGGTCCTGATGGAATTCCACCCATTATCCTCAAAAAATGTGCACCAGAATTAACACCGATTCTCTGCAAGTTGTTTACCGTCTCGTACAGGTCGGGTATTTTTCCATCATGCTGGAAGACAGCTAGAGTCCAACCAATCCCCAAAAAAGGGAACAAGAACCTGCCCAACAAATACAGGCTCATTGCCCTGTTATCAGTAATCTCCAAAGTTATGGAGAAAGCCATCAACATTGAGCTCATCAAATATCTGGAGAGCACGGGAATCATCAATGATAGACAATACGGCTTTCGCCACCGAAGATCTACTGGAGATCTGCTTGCCTACGTCACCCATTTATGGCAAGCTTCATTAGAAAAACACGGGGAATCTCTAGCTGTCGCTTTGGACATATCGAAAGCATTTGACCGTGTTTGGCACGAAGGACTCCTCCACAAACTACCATCATACGTCTTACCACCTCAGCTATGCCATCTCTTATCGAGTTTTCTTTCAGGCAGATCGCTTCATGTGGTGGTGGACGGTGTATCGTCTGATACTATTGGCATCAATTCCGGCGTTCCACAAGGATCAATTTTGGCACCAACATTATTCCTTCTTCATATCAATGATCTGTTGGGAGTAACAACTTGCCCCATCCACAGCTTTGCAGATGATAGTACCCTCCATACAGCGTTATCTTCCAG